CCCATCCATGATCTTGAGGTGAAGCAGCTCAGGGAGACATGGGCACAGATCATTTTGGTAGAGATGGGACTTATTAGGGCCAAACTGAGCATCAGAGAAAGCTTAAAATGTAACTCCACCTTGAAAGACACATATCTTGGAAATCTGACAAACATACAGGATGAGATCCTCATGTACTGCAAGGCAACATAGTGCAAATGAGAATAACTCCAGTAACAGTATGGCATACAGAGCCATTTTTGTTTAATTAATCCAGATACTATCCTAGTCCTCCTAATTGTGTAAATTTTTAATCTAATTTTCACTGAAATAGTAAATACTTGTTTTTAAGTGGTTTATTCAATTATATATGAGATTAATATTTAACCAAAGTTTATCACCTTTGGAAGAAAAAAAAAGGGGAAAATAGCTCCTGAATAAAGTTTGAAATCTCTAAACAGCAATAAAAAGCGTGATCCTAGCTAGTATACAGCTGTCTAAGAAATTGCAGCTAATTACTACTGTTTCCATTCTCAGCTGACTAGCAGTTTACTACATAAAATAACTAAGATGTTGTAGAAAAATAACTAATTATCATAATGTTTGATGGAAAACATTTTTCACATATTGTGAACTGTGCATTCTTGTAAATAGGAATTTTCAGAAGAAATGTTTTGGTATAAATAAAGCCCTTCCCAAGCTGTGGCTGCAGAAGAGAGATAGTAGTCAGAAGTCTATCCTGAAAATTATCATTCTATATTCCCCACAATTCCAACAAAATGCTTGCCTCAGCCAGGAAGAGCTTCTTTTCTCCAAAAAGAGATTTCCTATTACGTAGGAAATAAGATGAATTTTGTTCTTCTGTTGTACTGACGATTTTGTGATATGTCCTACAAGCTATGGCATAATCCCCTTAAAACAAAACCTGAAGCCATGCTGCAAAAGTTACAGACATCTTACAAATGTGATTCTTGCAGTTTTCTTTGCCCATTTTGGAGGGAAGGCAGATGGTCAGTTGTGTCTCTTAACACAAACTTAGTTTTTTTTTCTGAAAGCTAGTCTGTCTCCACATCCGGCTTTTTCCATCTGAATAGGAAAGTAAAATGTAAGGAAAAAAAAGACAATCAATATGATCTACTAAAATTGCACATGTTCTTTGTATATCAGTATTTCAAAAATATTAATTCCTAGTTTAAAAAGGCCTGATCAGGCCTTGCTGGTTTTGGTCTTTACTATTTTCCTCCCCAGTCTCTGCATTTTAAGTATTATCCGTCATCTTTCTTTCCATGCTTTTAAAAGTGGCTATCACAATTGAAGACTGTAGTCAGACCATGCTTCCGACATCATCTGTATCAGACTGGAGACCTAGGTATGAAAACTGTGGCTAGATCAAAAAAGATAAACTGCCTGTTCTTTGCTGAGGTGAAGAACATCTGAGGCTATGAAGAAAAGAAGAAATGAGGAATTCAAGACCCAGATTGCAATATTTCAATATTTACACAGACATCAAATATGGAGAAGCTCATACGAATATTTAAGGAATAATATTTTAGAACATCAAAAGCACATAAAACCAGGAAAGAAGGAAGAATTCTGCAACCTCCAGCTATGGTATGTGGCAAAACCTGCAGTGAGGGCATGGAGAGCTTATCTTAAAACCCAATATATAGAGATTGGCCATTAAGTGATTGTTCAGCATGTCTTGGATAAACAATTTATGACAACAGAGAAATCCTAGATATGTTCAACTGGCAAAAGTACATATATTGCTCTACAGAAATACTTGAGCAACAGCCAGAAAAATCCTTGTTAATGTAACTGAAAGACTGATTATATGTTTTAGGCTAACATGTTTTTTTCTTAACAGTTTAATGTACTTCTCAATTATCTCTCTTCTCACTTAGGATTCCAGATTTGCAAGAAAATTTTGTCTTTTTACTATAAACTTGAAGCTCAAAATCCATACATAAGATGTGATAAAAAGGAAAAGCAGACAGTAGTGACATTTTTCAGCCATCAGCTGAACACAGTACACAAGGACTGAAAGCTGAGGTACTTAATGCCTTTGCCTCAGTCTTTAATAGTAAGAACAATTGGTCTCGGGGTACCCAGCCCCTAGAGCTGGAAGACAGGGATGGGGAGCAGAATAAAGTCCCCATAATCCAAGGGGAAATGGTTAGTGACCTCCTACACCACTTAGACATACAAGAGTGTATGGGGCTGGACAGGATCCACCCAAGGGTAATGAGGGAGCTGGCAGAAGTGATCACCAAGCGACTTTCAATCATTTATCAGCAGTCCTGGCTAACTGGGGAAGTCCTAATTGACTGGAGATTGGCAAATGTGATGCCCATCTACAAGAAGGGCCAGAAGGAGGATTTGGGGAGCTACAGGTCTGTCAGTCTGACCTTGATGTGAGGGAAGGTTATGGAGCAGAACATCTTGTGTGCCATCACATGGCACATACAGGAAAACCAGGTGATCAGTCCCAGTCAGCATGGGTTTATGAAAGGCAAGTCCTGCTTGACTAACCTGATCTCCTTCCATGATAATGTGACCCACTTAGTGGATGACGGAAAGGCTGCGGATGTGGTTTACCTGGACTTTACTAAAGTCTTTGACACGGTTTCCCACAGCATTCTCCTGGAGAAACTGGGTGCTCGTGGCTTGGATGGGTGTACTCTTTGCCGGGTAAAAAACTGTCTGGATGGCCGGGCCCAAAGAATTATGTTAAACCCAGTTGGCAGCCATTCACAAGTGGTGATCCTCAGGGCTCAGTACTGGGGCCAGTTTTGTTTAATATTTTTATCATTGATCTGGATGAGGGGATTGAGTGCCCCTCGAGGGGAAAAAGGACCTGGGAGTGTTGGTTGACAGGCGGCTGAATACGAGCCATCGGTGTGCCCAGGGGGCCAAGAAGGCCAACGGCATCCTGGCTTGTATGAGAAATAGTGTGGCCAGCAGGACTAGAGAAGTGATTTTCCCCCTGTATGCGGCACCAATGAGGCCGCACCTCAAACACCATGTTCAGTTTTAGGCCCCTCACTACAAGAAAGACATTGTGGTGCTGGAGTATGTCCAAAGAAGAGCAAGGAGGCTGGTGAAGGATCTAAAGAACAAGTCCTATGAGGAGCAGCTGAGGGAACTGGGGTTGTTTGGCCTGGAAAGAAGGAGGCTGAGGGGAGATCTTATCACTCTCTACGACTACTTGAAAGGAGCTTGTAGCAAGGTGGGTGTTGCACTCCACAATCAAAGATTAAAAGCACACACTATAGATGTTCCTGAAATGCTGTGCTTACCAACATACCCCAAAATTCTTTGAACAATTAAAAAGCCTGCGTGCAACTCACTGGATGAATATTGAACAAGTCATTGTATATGAAAATTCTAGTGAATCAGAGTAAGACAGACAAAGCCAACAGGCTGGAATATGATGGGGACACAAGAATCTTGTCAGAGCCAGCACATTTAGTGAGAAAGAGGGCAGCTCAGCCAGCATTTTATCAGTCCCAACAGAGAAGGAAAGGAAGGCTGTGCAGAAAGCAAAACAAAAAATGGGGGGAATGTTAACGAAACTAACACAGTATTTAATAACTCCCCCTGCAAGTTTACCAACACAAACTTGAGCAAGGCAGAAGAATGAAAAAAATATTCTGGTTCATATATGCTTTATTCTGTAAAAAGTGTTTTTACAGCCACAAAAACACTTTCTTATGTGCTGTAAATTTAAAGGAAGTTAATAGTTAATAGTTAAGATTACTATTAATAAAAATATCAACCCAGATGTCCCAGTTTCTTAATTTTTTATTATTATTGGTCTATTATTGAACTACTTTGCACCTCTTCCTCCTCTTGTAGGGCACAACAACTGACCCATCTTTTTGCTCCAGTATTAGAAGACTGTAGTCTGAACTTGACGTCTACTCAAGGCACTGACATTCAGTGGAGAATGGCTAGTGACTGATGCTATTAACAGACTTCTGCTGACATTTCCATGGAGATTTGCACCCAATTTTCCTTTTCTGCTGTATTTGGAAAGACACTACTTGTGGCAGAGGAGGTCTATTTTTTTTTTGCTCCTACTGCAGCTAATAAATCCCATCACTGAAAAACTTCATTCAAAGTGAGGCTTTTAAAAGCATTACCTCAGATTGCCTTTTCCCTGAACAGAACACATATTTCAGATTTTTAGACTTTGAGGTGCCTGTAATTAACTCTGTGTCTCCTGTTAGTACCCCAGTCAGTGCTGCCAAATCTTGATCATGTGATTTTTTTTTCTCAGGTAGTGATTCTTTCCGTCCAATATCACAAACACCGTTAACTACTCGTAAGACACCGTCTTTCTCCAAAATTTGACAGACCTGAAATTCAACATGGGATCTGAAAGTCATGAGGGCTTTTTCTGTTTTGCTTTTTGCAAGTGAATAAAGACTTCTATTAATCAAATGGTTTCTCTAGTGACTGGTGCAACACTGGTGCTATTGGTATGCTTGGACAGGTGTCACTGATAGGTCTTAACACTTGCATTTTGCAAGCAGTTTTCCTTCCGTAAAAGACAGAAATACAAAGAAAATTACATGCTCTGTTTTCTTTAGAGTTCTGTTTGTTGTACCATTATAACTAGGAATGAAACACAGTATCAGTTTCCTTTGACCATCAGTGTTAAGAGGACTAATTTTGGTTATGCTAAAGACATAGAAATGCTGAAAAAGAAGTTTTAATGACATCCTTAAGAGACAAAAACCAACTGTGGTTCTGACTCAAGAGAGAATTAGCCATCTGACTACTTTATGGATGTAGTTGTAATTCCAGTGAATAAAAAGGAATTTTTCCATTGATTTCTTTTAGCTTTGAGATGGACAGACAGACAGACTTTATGCTCTCTCAGGACTCTTTTTGTGACAAAGAACTAATTTGAAAGCACTATTTTTTAAGACATGAACTAAGAAATTGATTTCTTCCAAGGTGAATACAAAAGGAAAAGTTTTCATCTTTTAGTTAAGCTATAATAAAATACTCACTGATGGATTCTTTGTTGGCTGAATGGAGCAGTATAGCAGTCATTCTCCTCCAGATCTGGCAGTGTCTCCTTGTCCAGTTTCATTGGCTTTCTAGGTAACCATCCTCGAAACCTGCTTATTTGTTTCTCGATCCTGCAGCACAGGAAAATTGTGAGCATTTGAGATAGTGTTTTTTCATTACATTGTAGAGCACTTAAAAAGAACACATGATGGCAAGCTAGGCCACTTAATATTTGCAACTGGAAAAGAGGCAATGTATTTGACTTTTTTGAGGCAAACCAAATTATATGTGCTGAACTTGATTATTAATAAACAGCTTTCAGTGGCGGAGCATCTTATTTTGTCTCAAGAGAAAAGCAATGCTGATGGTACACAGTGCTACAAATCTTATTAAGCCTAGTAAGATCTTATCAACTCTCTAAACCTTTATTTCTCAGATCTTCAGTTAGTTTAAAATTTCAGGCTTAATTGACACATTAGACTTCGGACATATAAACATTAGAACAGCAGAGGACAGTGGCAGAGAGCTTTGGCAGCTAAACCCCAGAAGCTGCATCACTTTAGTGCTCTCTGTTATGGATCCTTACCTCACTACTGATGCTGTAAAAATGGGCTACTTTGTTCATTTGTAGCATCTTGCAATACCACAACCTCCATGAAACCAAAATACTCAGTGTATAGATTAATAGGTGACTGCTATGCAGATTCTTACATTTAGAAGGTGAAACCAAACTAAGATCAAGCTGGACAAAGGAAAGATTTACTTCCAAGTGCACTCTCGCAAAGATGCACACTGAAATGAATGGTAAGGGCAGAAGCAGAGCTGATTTGAGAAGACAATCTAAAACAAATTCAAATCCAAACTAAAATGTTACAATGAAAAGCACATTAGAAAGATGAGATATGTCTGGGACAATGAGCCCTACTCTCTTAGAAGTTCCTGACACCCTCAAGTCCTGATCAGTGATCCCTGCCTGTAAAAATAATAGACTAGAAATTATGGACTATGAACATACTTCAGTCAGTGAATGAATCTTTCGGGGCTGGAGCTAAAGGGTGTAAAGATGTATCCTTTGAAGTTTAAGTCCAGTTCTGGCTAAAGTTAAAGGACTGGAAATGTAGTTGTTTCTTTTCTTTTGGCAGAAGTCAGCACAATAACTCCATGACCAGCAATTCCTGTAAGCTCTGCACAGTCACTTTGAGGGAGGGCAATCTGTACCCAAGCAGCTGAGTATGTGGGAAAGTGACATGAAATTGTTACATACTTTAATCTAAAATACATATAATATTTCCTGGAATATTCAACCTTCTCCCATAAGGTATTTTTATCTTGGATAAGAGAGCTAATGCTAATTTTTAAACATGGGTACATTTCAAAATTGTAACCAAATTGGCTCTCCTTGGTTTAGTACCATTTGTGTATTTCCATTCTGGGAATAGCGGGAGGGGGACAAATTTACCATCAGGACTGTTTGGAAGAACTGAAATGTGTATGTGAACATAACATAAGGCTTATACTAAATTAATCATAAACTCCTCATGGGCAGTGTTTGCATTGTCCCAGCAGTTCAGACCACAGGAGGAGGTAGTTTGCAGATGTCTGTGCATGAGAGCAGGCAAGATGTCAGATTTCTGGGCTGTAAAGGGTCTAACCAATTGTAACTCATCAGTTGCAGCGTCTGACTTGAGTTAGTCTGTGCAGACACTGATAGGAATGACAAGGGAAAATTAAGTTAATTACTGGGGAATTCCCTCTCTCTTGGTCTCCAGTTTTTTCCTCTGTAAAGGCCACACACTCTGCATTACTGTATGTTCAGCAGGCTTAGTGACTCTGAGTATGCAAAACAGAAGAGGAATCAGGCAGAAGGGCTTTCTAAACATCCTGTTCCATGCTTATTTGTTAACTGAAATCTCTAAGCTATTAACACCCTTGCTAATCTGCAATCCTTTCCCATTCATTCTGCAACTCAATGTGCACATTTGAGATAAGGGTGCTGCAGGTTTATCACACCACACAGGCACACATGTAGGCAGAGAGTACTCTCCTCACTTAAGAGCAATGCATTATTCATGTTGGCTTCTCACTGAGTGTACACAGAATTTGACTGGTTTGCCATTCTCAAGGCCCAGATTACCTGGCAGGTTTAGTGAGCCTGCTGGCAAACAGGTCTGACAAGGTTGCAAAGCCTTTCTGCAAGGCCCAGAACATACAGTACAGCAAAACCATCCCTAGGGAACAAAAGCTAGTTATTTCCTTGAAAAGAGAAACTACCAAACTCTTAAATTGCCTCCAACGCACTCCAACAGTGCCATCAGCCAACAGCGCAGGCTTTGTACTCTACAGGAGCATATCTCGAAAGAAAAGCTGAAAGATTGGTGTTGGTGCTAACAGAAAGACACACAGTGTTAAAAATCTACTGTGTTTTATCATTTCTTCAAGGCTAATCCATGCTTTAGGGAGAAATTTATATACTCAGCTGAATAGGGGAATGGTGTTTGGAAAGCAGAGCAACCTACACAAGAACAAAAGAGTGCATGGAGTGATGAGGCACTGTAAAGTTAGCCACAATGAAAGAAGAGAGTGGAAGATCCAATAATAACATCCTTCTTAAATTCCTTCTTTAAAAACACTCATTAGCCTCGTAAGGCAGAAAATAATTATCTTAATCCACACAATGTCTCCAAGACAGAGTCTCTTCCACTTCAATCCTACCCCTGCTTTCCAAGTCTAGTTTTACTCAGTATCCTCTTTCTAAAGATACATATTGGGCTTAACTCACACAAAAGGTTTTGCAAATAATTTCAGAGAAACTGTTTTCTCATTAGGAAGTGAGGTAGGGATGGAATAATTTTTTGAAGGAAGGAGGAAGTTAGGAAAATTTAAAAAAATGTTTCTAATAGAGACTGATTTTTATCTGTGGATCAGCTTTGATAGAGATTTACACATATTGTAGTGCTAGATATTGCCTTAGTTTAGTTTTTAACCACAATGCAGTTACTGTATAGGTACCCAATACCCCTCCTTTCCTCTAAAATGTATTTGATTAATTTTGTCACTTGAAATTTTGAGATGACTAAAATTTTTCAGGGAGAAAATTCAAGTCAGTTTGGCAAGTTGCAAGTGATGTGCTCTGGGCTTTGCCTTGTAACAAAAGTCCTCTTTAAAATAAATTTTGTCAATATAATGTTTGGCTTAGCTCAAAAAATGTACCAAGGCTTCAATTACTTGTAATCCTCATTGAACTAGGAGTAGAGGAAACAGATATTTTTATTGAAGCTGTATATCTGAGTTTCACATAAATGAAAATGAAGTTGAATATGTTTTCTTTTTTCCCACTGGGACTATTCAGTTATAGCTTGTCCACCTCAAGTAGCTGTTTATAGACCTGAACATCAAAATTGAATTTAGCCAAGTGTTCTCATCACTCAGCAACTAAAATACCACAAAAAGATCATACCTCTTCCCATACTGCCTTCAAATTGCATCCTGACTCATAAGAAAATGAATGTAAAACAAAATTTCATACACCACATATAAATGTTAGAATCTTCAACTACTCCTTCCTATCTATTGCTTTTCTCAAAGCAGACATATCTTAAATAAAATCAAGACAAATTCCAAAGTTAACAGCTGCTATAGTATTTGTTGTAAGGTGAAGATGGAAAGTGGGTGAGCACCAACAAGCTTTAGAAGAATTCTGTGTTTCTATTAGCCTGTGCCAATGAGGTAAAATGCCCTAACTTTACAAAGAGCCCATTTGGTGCTTTCTAATATAAAGAAGCAAATACTATAACGTAAGGTCAGTGCTGATACTCTCAAGTCACCAGCACACTGATGGAATTTAATATACAAAATGTTTTTTAATATACTCATACAGCAGGGTGATAATGTGATTTATTTTCCCATGGATGTTCATCTACTGATGTCATCTGCAAAGTGATATAGTTGTTTACTCCAAAAGCAGATCTTTCAAATTTAATTCTTGTCTCTCTGAGGTTAATGGGAATTTTCCCACTGACCTCAGAGCAATACAGTAAATCAAATACTAGGCCCTTTTGAAAACTGCATCAACAGCACTGTGACATTAAATGCCAACATATGATCTGGTCTTTGCCAAATCTGTATAATTTTTAGGCTTTTTGGAGACATTTTCATTTAATTGTTCAAGGTATAAAAAAAAAAAAATGCAAACTGCAGCCCTGGAAGTTTTTCATTGCATTAAGTCAGATATAAACCAGGCATCAAACATAACCTTAAAGATATTTAATAATTGAATTAAAGCACTTTAAAGATTCTTGAAAAATAGTGATCTCTCAACCTTAATAATGTTACATCGGAGATGAACTTGGTTCATTGCCCTCCTATCTACCAACAAAGTACTAAACATCCCCACAGAGGAAGCAATAAATAAATAATGTTATCGCTATTACAAGTAAGCAAGGTGCACGGAAATGAAAAAAAAAAAAAGCTGTAACTGTGGTATTTTAACCCCAAGAAACTCCCTAATGAGTTACACAAAAAAAGAGATACAGTGTTTGCACTAACACACTTATTCCTCTTTAAAAGACTTCATAAATTGAAAAATATTTCCTTATTCCTAAAAAAGGCAACACTGATAAAATGAATTGCCTCTTTCACATTGCATTTGCTTTAAAAATGCAACTTCTGTATTTGTTTTTCCAGATGTCTTAGTGTGTAAACACTCCTCCACCTTTCCTACTAACACAGCTAATAAACTTTTCTTTCCAGCTTGACCTTAACCATTATTTTTGTTATTAGGTCCAAATGAACATAAACTGGACTGGTATGAGAATTGTACTCACCTATTCATGAACTTGTATCGGCGGTGCAGGTAATAGATTTTTCTCCTGGAAGAACAGCAAAAATGAAGCCAGTCGAGAAGAAAACCCATCGTCAGTTACAGTATGAACTAGCAAGGAAGGAAAGGAGATTGAAGACAGAAGCCTGTAAGAGGTGGAGGAAGAGACTAAAAGAGAGATTAACAGAACTGTCACAGGAAGCCACACAGACTTTGGTGGCATTTGAATTGTAAGAAGATCATAATTTTCCCATTGTCTTCTCTTCAGCTATTTGTTATGTATGAAAGATGGGGACCCAAAGATGGTTCTATTTCAAAGAAGTCCATAAACTGTTGCAGGAATTCTATAGGACTGATACAAATATGGATAAATTATCTCACATCCACTAGTGAATTATTAAAGATGCATTTGGTTAAACACAAGGAGGAATCACTTAGAAAAGCCAAGGAAGTGGTACCTGGTGCTGCAATACACCATAACACATGCAGTACCAACTGGGATCAGTGCTCACTATTGGAGTAACATCTCTTGAAACAGAATATAGGCTACACAAGCAAATGAGCATGTGCTCAGGCAGTCCCCCACCCCAAGTATGCAGCCGCTCCCTCTGCCCCGATACAAGCACAGCTGATTTCTGTTGTCAGGGCAATAAGCTGTGTGGGAGTGCACGTGGGGAACAAGTGAGCAGACAAGGGTGCATGAGCAGATGCATGCTGACTACACTCTCAGCCTGCTTCCTGACCAGCCCTGTGGGGCAGAGCAGCCCCCTAACCATCCTGTGTAGATCCAGAATGGGGAGTCCACTTCCTGTCCCACTCTGCCGCTGACAGCTCTTGCTCGCCTCATAAGTGCCTATAACACCACAGCTGTCAGGATTAGACCCCTCATTTTCAGCAGAGAGATCACACCTTCATGATTGTTAAGAAAATCTGAAGGCTTTTAGGGGTAGGTTTGGGACTGATACTCCTTAGTGTAAGATTTGGGTGCCTGCCTGAACTCCAGTTTCCTCCTCCAGAGGCTGACCTTGTCATCTGCTGAAGGTCATTGCTAAATCAAGGTGGTTTCTGTATATTCTGAGAGGTTCCATCATGTAATGCTGAACTGTACCACTTCTGGAAAATAAAGGGCTTGCACCACACACATTCTGAATACGCGTGTATATTAAATGCACTGTAGCTGTTAGCGCCTTGGAAACAAGCATGGTTGGGAGGTTTCTAAAATCGGACAGCACTGATGCTTTACAAACTATAGAAAGAAAACTGGTTAGTATTCCAGGTTAATTTTCAGAACTTAGAATTTAAATAACGCATAATATTTTGACATTATTTTTGTTATCAGTGTCCATATTGTACTGGTGAAGTGAAATTTTCAAAATGATTTCATGTTGGCCAGATTCCTTTAGCCAACTTCGCCACAAGATAATGTCGTTTATCTTGCTCTACTTAGCAGGAGCAGAGAAGAGTCAAAGCCAAATGTATCTGGAGATGCCATCCACTTGATTTTGCTTCAGATATTCAGAAGTATCCACTGTTTTGGCACCCTTGCTTTGAGACAGCAAGGATTTTATTCACTGATGTGTGGACTTTGGACAATTCTAACCTAAAAAATCAGGAGCTGTAAGCAATCACAAGCCCTTAAAACAACGGGTTAGACAAGGGCACCTGGAAACAGGTAGCCTAGACTAATGGACATTTTGTAAAATGTTGGTCCTTGTTTTTATACAGTAAACAATACTGTTGCTCCTAAAAGAAAATTTAAGACTCTGCACAGCAGGCATTAGTAAATCACCATGATTTCTTCTTAGCAATACTGTAATAATTCTGTCTCTGTGGTTGTGTGAAAAATGAAGCCGTGGTCCTGTAGCAGGCCGACAAACCTTTAGTATATTCGATACTTTCTGTATAATCTGTATGGCATCTACTTTGCTGTCTGCTGAGTGACAGCTTTCAAAAAAAAGAGACTTCCGATCAGGAAGGAACAAGCTGCTTACAGTGAGTAAAATCTGGTGTATTTCTTAATCTTGAGACCTTATGCTCCTACTGGGGCAGGTTCATCTCAAGGAATGCCACAAAAGTCAAAGGAGGTACACTTTTGGCCCAGCCCATTGTTTCTAGGGCTAAAACACTTTTTTTAAAGAATATGAATATTTTGCAATGACTGGTGACAGATTTTATATTTTTCTCTTTAGCACTAAAAGCACAAGAAAGAACAGTTGAAGATTTGCTGTGAAAATGAAAACCAAAATACATACAGAATAAGCCTGCAATTTTTTCCTTAATTCATATCCATTTTTTATAACATGTTCTGTACTGCTACAGCATGTCTCATACCAGGGGCATTTTTCATCCTTAAGTAAGAAGCAAACAGAAGAAATTCTACAAAGGACACCAACTCACTAGTTGCATATTCTGGGTCTCATCCTTCTCTTGCTCGGGAGTAATTCCATTAAAATCAATGGAGTTATGCATCTATAAACACTGCTAATAGAAAGAATAATCAAGACCTCTCAGTTCGTGGGTTTTTGTCGGTTCCAGTGGAAGTCTTTATCCTATTTTAACAATTCTGATAACTAGTAGGGTAAACTCAATATTTTACATAGAAAATGTCATAGCCCAACATGCAAATAACATTAAATAAATGATAAAAATAATCTGAATGACAGTGTGGAATTAATTTGTTTATCAGCAGCATTTAACATAAGTTCTTTATTTTCTCCACAGAAAAAAGCATTTATAGTCTGAATTGTTCTCCTTTTAGATGGGATTCTTATTTATAACCTGTATTTCCATAATTACACACTATACAAGCAATTTACAGGTGCTGAACATACCAGATACGTCCAACAGACATGCACCTTCTGTGCTGCCTTACGTACCTGGATCTTCTTGACCTCCCATTGATTTCAATGAAATGTCCATTTAAAAAACAGCAGCGCACAAGTATGCAGGGGGCTCCAGCATTGAAGGGATTAAAGGGCCTAAGGATAGAATACCCCATGAAAACAGCTGCACTGCTACAGCCCACCTTAATTTCAAACCAGTATTGTACTGAAATTGCAGGCATTAACAAGAAACAGCAACGAATATGGTATCAAAGGTACTCCATTTATATTTTCTGAAGATGTGTGGTATCTTATAGAAGAGCTTTTCCATGTGCATGTTGGTATTACTATTACATTAGCTTTACACTATAGCGTGACTTTAGAGGTTGAGACAAAATACAACTACACCTACCTGAAAGGCATTCTTACATTCATTAGTTCAGCATATTTGCCCAGGACCTCCCAAGGGGCATGCAACTTCACAAAGATGATGTCACTGTTTATTAGAGATGACTGCAAAAGAAAAACAACACAGCCACCAGGGCTTACTTTTTCAAGTGAAAAACAAAGAAACCATGGTCAGTGGTCAAGATCTACTTTTCTGGTCTTGTGTCACCCCTCCTACTTCCTGATTCTTCCTCAAGCATGCGTAGTTCTATCAGTGTTTTGTCAACTCATTTTCCTTCTGGTTTCCTGAAAGCTATGCTGTGACTCCCTTCTGGCCTGCACATGTGTTTCCTTCATATGGAAAAGAGGACATGGAGGGGATGCTGGCATGCAGTTGTGAGTTTCCCAAGTGTGGGGTGGGAATAAGGTTGGTGGGTAAATCTGGGTCTGGAAGCTTGGTCCTGAACTTCAGCTAAAAGCAAAATGGCAAGTCAAGATCCGATTCTGCCAATTGACCGGGTTTTCTGCACTCCCAGAGAAATGCAGATGTGTGGAGGCACATCTAGCAATCAAGAAAAGTTTGTATGACAGTGTGGTCTTATTGTTTTTGCCCCACATGGACAAATACTGAAGTCCCAGCAACAGAGCCATGGTGTCCAGCTTCCCTTCCTCCAGCTTCCCTCTTGGCCACACAAATTCTGAATGTTAGAGCAAAAGCCAGTGGGAAAAGGGAAATCTGATGCTGCCCACTGCATAATATCGCACAGATTTGTTGCCCAGGAAGATCGAGGGCCACGACTATGCCAGCAAGAGCTCTTTGAAGTGCTACCATCTTTTTTTTTCTATGGATTGTATGCAGCGTGAAGAGAGCTTTATGTACTGTATATGCACCAGAACAGCTATTACCTAACAGAAGGCTGTCTGGCAAAGAACAGAGAATAAAAGAAGAGAAGGGAGGAACAGAGTAAAGAGGAGAAGAGGAGAAAGTTATCTTTGTTTGCACTCAGGAGGAGAAATAGTGCTTTAAAAGAAAGCAACAGCAGAGTTGGTTGAAGCCCCCCCGAGAACACAGACATCCACATGTCAGTACTGGACAAATTCTAATGAAAATCAATTACATTCTCATAAAATTGCATACAATATAGCTTTAGAGAACTGAATGGATCACATTAACAGGGAAATCTACTAGAAGCTGAGTTTGAGGAATACCCAGGAAATGGCTAATGGTGTGCAGGGTGTGAAAAAAAGGAAAGTATGAAGACTGAGAAAACTAGGCAAGAAAATTGTTAGTTGACTTTAAGGATGATTTCCTAGTTTTTTTAGGCATTGTATTATATTAAATGTTTCTCACATTAATTCTTGGTTAATACAACTTACTGGGAGATCTTAAATCTAGTATTGTTTATCTGGAAGCTACAGTGACTATATGGGTGGGAGGCTGACATTTATAATTTTGACGTCTATTTGATTCTTACCCCCACCCTCCTGATAGATGCTGAAGTTATTGAAACTGCTATATCATGTTCATGTCTTTACATTAGCTGGAATGTTGTTACTGCTTTGTGAGGTGAAAGGAATGAAAGCTCTAACAGTTAGGATACATATATATTATTTTCTTTAGCACAGAAAAAAGAAAACCAACAAAAAAAACAACCCAGACACTACAGTATTAAATTTTTTTAAAACAAATAGAATATTTGAATCTTCAAAAATGGACAAAGAGAAATATTTGTACCCAAAGTACTATTGGGCTGCATGAAAAAAAATTGATTCAGCGCATAATGGAACAAGTGACTTTCTGATATTAAAACTACAGAAAAAATCTTGCTGTTCTTTTGCTGATGACTTTTTGAAAAATATTTCAACACAAAATGGTACAACACCAGCAAAATGCCCCCAAGAGACTTGCTTCAGAGACAATGAATTCAGTTGTTCTCTTTCCACTGATTTTTATGGATTCTAAATCAGGCCTCTAATGATGTTTTTCTTTATAGGTACATTTCACAAACTATATTTTGTTTTCCCATGACACTTTAGCAAGTAGATACCACAAAATCAAGACTACATTCTGCTACTCTAAAAATTTCCTGCAAACTACTCTCCTGAAGATGAGGTTAAGTCAGCAGTGGACTGGCAATTTTATCATAAATAGGTTGGATTAAAAAAAAACAACAAACAAACAACAAACCAAACCCTGCAAAAAATCAAAAGGACTGTCTAATAAGCCTAACATACAGAAGTAAACTATGGTTCTGACACACCAACACAATTTGAGAAATGGAGGACATTTATTAAAAACAGCCTGTAAATTTAGTGATGGCTGTTCAACAGGAAGCTTATAGGCATTTTCCAGCAAATTGTAGGTTAAGCGATACTAGATATGGCAGCCACAGTAACATGACTTGTAGGGATGCTGTTTCACAAGTGAACACTATCTTCATCTAAATTCAGTTTCTTACGTGTTGCATGTTTTCACACAGAAACAAGAAAAACTTCCATATAGTTATGACAATACATATATTTAAAGAATATTTTTTACTCAGTATCTTGTAATGTCATTTTAGCAGCTTTGTCAACAGAAGATCTAACCAAAAATACATTTGGAAGGTTCAGTTATTTTCAGAAGAAAGAGATAATAATGCTAAATTATTAGTATGGAAATCCATTTCTCTTGGGTTTGCTTGTGTTAACTGTTTATAAAGGAAAGCACTAAGAAATCCAGAGAAAAACAAGACTGGAAAGAGAAGAACAAATTCAGATGGAGAAGTAATTGAATGAAATGTCAAATTTGCTTAATCTAAGGAGACAATAACTAATCAAAATACCTGAAAAAAACTATCAAGAACACCATCTTAGTAACGAAAATAGTGAATGGAATCTCCTAATCTCTCTGTTACATTAGTATTTAGACACAGTATCTTTCAGCTTCTAAATGTTTCATTGAGAGAAGATGAGCATTCTTCTTTGACTTTTGAGGCTTGGCTCATTAAATGGTTTGGAGAAGTAAACTCAATTTCACATTATAAGAACATGCAAACAAGAGTCAATGTAACATTGCTCCCCTTGGAAATTTAAATTATGACTATTGAGCAATATGCTCAATTATGACTATTATAGCAAACTGCTAGAAAGTGATGTCTAGATGATGAAGAAAGAAAAACAGAGGAATCAAGGGCACAGACAATGAGATAAAACACTTCGCAAACACAAAAATCAAATAAGTATTTGGAATTCACCTTTGGCACCAGTGCCCATAGAGTTATCACCATAATTGCCAGGCCACCACCATTCAAATAAATTGATTGTTTAAAATTGATTTTTTGAGGAGAAGTATCCATAGCAAAACAGATTTTCATCTGGTCAGTAATAACATTCTTTCTGGTTGTCAGAGCACTGCAAACCCAGTGTGACAAGAAACTTATCAGAGAATCGCAGACTAACCCAGATTGGAAAGGACCTCTAGGGGTCTCTAGCTAAAGTGAGGCCAGCTCAGATCAGGTTGCTGAGGGGCTCATCCCACTGAGTCTTGAGTATCTACACAAGCAGAGATTTCACAGCCTCCGGGCAACCCATGTACTGAAACCGGCTGGAGAAAATAATATTTCATATGGAAGAACGGTACTCTTCTCCAGAGAAATGTTGGTTGAAAAATACAAGTTCCTAGACATGAAAAATAATGAAAATTCAAAATGTTCAGTGTAAAGACGGCATTCTTTATAAAACAACTTGTTTCTTACAAGAACTTTTAAAAAATTGTTATTCTGATTGAGAAGCACTAGCAAGACGTATTTAGTTTAAATGAACCCTGATCTTCAAAACAGGTTTGTACGGTAGAAGTCAAATCACTAGTACCTGAGTTACAGATAGCCAATACACAACAAGTTTCAGCGTTCAGTGCCATTAATCTACTCTTTTGCACAAGCTGTAATTTTTCTGTCTTTCCACTTCCCAATTCCCTTCTACAGCTGGAAATCGTATTCCATAATTCCTGAAAATATTAGATCAGTATTTGATAATAATGAGTTTCCATAGCCCACATCTTTGTATCAGAGATATTCACTAATTCCCAAATTCCAGATTCACTGACAAATCACTTTACTACCATATCATTGCTGTGAATCTGACAATACAGGCAGTACCATAGGCCCACATATTATAGACTTGCCTTTCTGGCAAGACTACTTTTATCCTTTACCATTAAGTTCATACAGACATTGTATAAAATCAATGAGAAATGTATTTAAAAACAAAGCTCCATATTCTTCTCCAGTATCACTATATAAGGAGTGGAAGAGCCTAAAGTAGGGGCCATTTACGTGATTTCAAAAGCACACACACCTGCTTTGGTGAGTTACAGTTATCAGCTAGGCCAAGGAAAACTTGTAAGGAGCAGGTTTTTATTCTCCTTCTGAGAGTGGGCGCAAAGTGGTTCCAAGCCTGTTTAATTTAAGTCTTGGCCACTGAACTCACATGTACTCCTGCAGGCACTCTAACTACTATTGATGGCAGAATTTAAAGGTATGTATTTACTATTGACCTGACTCTTCTCATTCTGAAGTTATGATTTTTAGTCTGAATGGATGCAAAGTTATGCTGACATTGAACATCTCTTGAAAAACTGACATTTTCTTGTATTTGCAGGCTGTCTTCTAGAATCAAGGCTGGAGATTATGTCTTTTGTCAAATACCCTCTCAAACATTCTCCTCCAACAAAGATTTTTTTTTGAGTCATTATCAATAATATTGTCAAGACATTTTAAGAAAAAACAACTGTAGGACTCTCCTTAATACAAGCATTTCTTGAGTCTAAAAGTTAAGAAAGTTGAGAAAAGAGATTCACAGTATATAACTTTGAAGAAGGATGAAATTACAGTGTTTCCAATAGAACGATGTAGTTGTTTATTTGCCTTGAGGCTACCAGGGAGGCAACTGCAAAAACCCAACGGTCTCATTTATGTATGCATACCGATAGGAAAAGAAATCAGGATTTACCATTAAGGTGTTTTCCCTATCTTTATTTAAGAGATAAATACTCAAGGCTCGGGCTCTCCTCACCTTTTAAAGTCTTCCTCATAAAAGTAAAAGGAGATAAATAAGATTTTGAAACAGATCCAGCATCTAGAATC